CAAGGCCTTATAGGTGGCATATGAAAGACCTCTGCCTGAGACTTTGAACAGCCACTGCCAGTCAGAGTGGACAATACGGAGCTAGACTCAGTAGAAGAAGAAGAGAAGAGATTGGATTTATCCCCCGCCCTTCACTACCCAAGGAGCTGTGGTGGCTAGAGGAGGAGATTGGATTTATACCCTGCCCTTCACTACCCAACGGAGTCTCAGAGTGGTTTACAAACTCCTTTCCCTTCCCCTCCCTACAATAGACATCCTGTGAGGTAGGCGGGGCTGAGAGAGCTCTTTCAAGGACTGCTCATAAGAGAACAGCTCTGAGAGAACTGTGACTGACCCAAGGTCATCCAGCGAGTGCAAGTGGAGGAGTAGGGAATCAAACCCGGCTCTCCCAGATCAGATTCCATGCACTTAGCCACTGCACCAGACTGGAAGAAGAAGAGGAGGAGGAGGAGGAGGAGATTGGATTTACGCCCTGCCCTTCACTACCCAAAGGAGTCTCAGAGCGGCCTACAAACTCCTTTCCCTTCCCCTCCCCACAACAGACACCCTGTGAGGCAGGTGGGGCTGAGAGAGCTCTGACAGAGACTGCTCTTTTTCAAGAACAGCTCTTGTCAGAACTATGGCTTGCCCAAGGTCATCCAGCCAGGTGCAAGTGGAGGAGTGGGGGAATCAAACCCGGTTCTCCCAGATTAGAGTCCGCGCACTTATTGCACCAAACTGGCTCCCAGTAGAAGGCAGCTTCATACATAACCCTGCAGAGAAAGGAGATTTGGTTCAGATGCACTCACATATCATAGGGAAGAGGCCAGAAGCACATGGGAGAGACGCTGGAACTTGTTTAGGACTCGGAGGTGCAGAGATGTGCCAGCTTGGAGCCCATTTAATCGCCAAGTAAACTGCTGGGGGCGGAGGGGCACACCCAGAAGTAGCTATTTTCTTCGTCTTTGCCAGTCTGTACACAGGAGGATGAGGGGTGTGGGGAGGGGGCTGGAAAGGGGCTGCTGAAGTCCCACAGACACTAGGAAGCCCACCCCCATTCTGTAGCGGTGCTAACTAGGGGCGGGGGGAGACACATTACAGTGGCAGTGAAGAAACATTTCTCTGCATTCATGAGATGGCAGCCAGTGTGGTGGAATGTTTGAAATGTCAGGTTCGTCTCTGGGAGACCCAGGCTGGAATACCAGGTTCGAATCCTCACTCAGCCATGGAAGCTTGCTGGGTGACCTTTGGCCACTCACAGTCTCTCAGCCTAGCCTACCTCCTGGGGTTGTTGTGATGGTGAAAAGGAGGAGCAGAAAGCGAAGTTCCATCCACTGGGAAGAGAAGCAGGACTCAATGAAGTAAGTAATTGTGCAAATTGTTAATGGTACTGGTTCGCTGTAGTGATTAGGACCATGGACTCTAATCTGGGAGAACATGCAGCTGCTGGTGTGACCTTGGGTCAGTCATAAGTTCTTTCAGAGCTGTTCCCTCAGGAGCAGTTCTCGGGAGGGCTCTCTCAGCCCCACCTGCCTTACAGGCAGCGTTCCCTCTAAGCTGGGTGAGTGTGAGCTAGCTCACAGATTTTCATCATAGCGCAGGAAGGAGGGCTCCAGAGCAAACTAATTGATGCAGCAGCCAAATCGCTCGCTCGCAACTGTAATGACAGTAGCTCACAAAGTGGAATTTTTGCTCACAGGACTCCACAGATTAGAGGGAGCATTGCTCACAGGTTGTCTGTTGTGGGGAGGGGAAGGGAGAGGGGTTTGTAAGCCGCCCTGAGACTCCTTCAGGTAGTGAAGGATGGGGTATAAATCCAATCTCTCCTTCTTCTTATGGCACACCAAAAGGGAAGCAATCACGGGGGAGGAGGGAAATCTGGAAAAAAAACACCCTTCAGTTTTGCTTAAATATTGTAAAAAAGATGACAAAAGGTTGTTCTGTGCATTCACCACGACCGCCCCACCTACGGTTGCCAGTATGAATGTGGGGGAAACCTGGAGATTTTGTGGGTGGAGCCTGAGGACGGCGGGGACTTCCATGGGCTACAAGGCCACAGAGTCCACCTTCCAAGGCAGCCGTTTCCTCCAGAGGAAATGATCTCTGTTGCCTGGAGATCAGCC